GGGGATGACAAGCCCCGAAATTCACAACTGCATTATCACATGGTAAGTGTCATCACAGAGGTGTATCCTGGGGAAGCTTGGAAAGAAGAGGGTCCCTGACCCAGACTGAGGGAGCCAAGGTTCCCCGACACACGGCAGCTAGGCTGAGACTCACTGGAGGTAAGTAGGACGCAGCCAAAGGGGCAGCGAGGCTGGAGGAGAGAAGACACAGAGGCAGGAAACAGTGTGGTGTCTGCAAACAACTGTAAGCAATTTGGTGGGAGGCACCGAGGGCCGGAAGGAAGACGGGAGACCGAGGACAGAGCCGGGCCCTGCAGGATTTTATGTAGATATTTAACATCTCGGTGTCGTCCAAAGTACACAGCAAAATGCATCCTATGCAGTAGGCCCTCCCTAAATATATTTTAAAAGAAATACAGCAAGGTGATGGGTTAAAAGCTCTCTCAAGTTCCTTCTGTCCTTGCAAATTAGAGCTGCTCTCAAGGCCTCTATGTCTGAGTTCTAAACATTTTGAGTTTCTTTTTATTATTATTATTATTTTATTTTAGAGAGAGAGCGCGTGAGCAGGGGTAGGGGCAGAAGGAGAGGGACAAGCAGACTCCGCCCTGAGCATGGAGCCCCACTCAGGGCTCGATCCCACGACCCCAAGATCACGACCTGAGCCGAAACCGAGAGTCGGAGGCTCAGCGGACTGAGCTGCCCAGGTGCGCAGAAGGCAAGTGCTGGAAGATAGAAAACTCATCCCTGTTGACCTTCCGCTGCGGGAGGTCTCCGAAATCAGGGAGAGTTTCTCCCAGGCAGAGCAGGGGGAGAACTGAGGGCGTTCACGGTGCCTGCCCAGGGTCAGCCCAGTCCTCAGGGGGGTGCCAGGATTCCGTGTCCACCCTCCTAGCCACCGCCAACATGAGAATTCAGAGAGGTTGTGAGGTCTTCCAAATAGGACTCCTAGCAATTGTCGAGGGTTCTGGGTGCTTTCTGGCTACCAGGTGAAGGGATCAGGGGAAGTGCAAAATCAGGACCTGGACACGGGGAATCCTGACCACGGTCCCCACCCCGTGGACTGGGCAGTATGAGGGAGCGTGAGGAGCCATCCATCTTTGTTGACTGCACAATGAGAACAGCCCTAGGCCCCCCCAACTCCCTCCCTATCTGAGGGCTATTCCCCCAGGATGCCTGTTCCGGGGGGGGGGGTGCGGGGGGAATGCTGCTGTAGGGTTAGGGCGGGCTGAGCCGCTAACTCTGAAGGGGGTCAGGTCGTCCCTTTTGCAAATCCAAGCGGAAAACCGGTCCCGGACGAAGAGGAGACCCCCGCAAGCCGCGCGCCTCTGACCCGCGAGGCCCCAAGCCTCAACCCTACTGGGTCCGGCCACGCGGGAAGCGCAGTCTTCTGCGCGTGCGCGCCCCGCCCCGCCCCTGGGAGTCTCGCGAGCGCGCATGGCCGCGGGGTCCCGCCTCCGCCGCGCGCTCTCGAGGCTCTGTGAACGCGCAAGCGACTGCAGCCCGCTGGGGAGCCTGCGCCTTGTCTCCCCCTGGCGGGCAGCAGCGGAACAACAGCAGAACCAGAGGGAGCCGTTTTGGTGGGCGCAGGTGCCAAGCTCTGCGGAGAGCTGAGCTGGAGAAGAGCTTTGCCATCAGTCACCCCGGAGCTGACCTCGTTGTGCGGCGCACCCCCTTCTCTCCCAAGGCTTCATTTCCAATTCGGAACAAGGGAAAAGGGAAGGCAGCAACCGTGGGCTCCCCATAGGTGCCAGGCCCTTTACGTGTATTATCTCATTAAATCCTGCCAAGGGCGTCATTGGGCGTTAGTCCCGTGTACAGAGAAGCAGCGGAGGCTCGACACAGCTAAGGCGTGACGCGTGTGTGCCCTCCCTGGTGGGGACCCAGCCCTGACCCTGGAGAAAGGGGAGCTGCTTCTCCTCTGGAGCTGAGAACGCGCTGCAAGAAGGAGACCGCTTTTCATGGACATTTCTAAGGAAGCTTTGCTGGTTAAGCCTGAGAACTTTCCAGGCTTGGGACACCTGGGTGGCTCAGTCGGTTAAGCGTCTGCCTTTGGCTCAGGTCGTGATCCCAGGGTCCCGGGATCGAGCCCCGCATCGGGCTCCCTGCCACCCCCCCCCCCGCTTGTGTGCTCTCTCTCGCTTTCTCTCTGACAAATGAATAAATAAAATCTTTAAAAAAGAGAACTTTTCAGGCTAGTCCATGTGCCTGGGGCACCAGCTCGCAGCCACAGGAGCCCAGGGCATGACCTTCCCAGGAATCTGGAAACATGTTCCCCCTCCAGGGATTCCGGGGGCAGTGGGGGGAGCCGAGGTGCACGTGCTCGCTCATGAGGCAGGGACAGTGCGGGTTAATGGCAGCTTGGGTGGGCTTGGGTCGGGGTGAGAGAAGCTGTTGCTACAACACCCATCTCGTGACCAGACTTCCTATCCAGATGCCAGTCTCCTCCTGCCTTCCAAGAACGTGCACAATGAGGCAGAAGCTGCTGGCCTTGGGCCTGGAGGGAGGCAAACACTGAGCAACCCTTAAGGGGTGGCCGGGTATGTTAACGAAGCGGCACAGAGTATGCGGGCCATAAGGGAGAGACTGCGAGCCAAGTTAGGTTAGGTGGGATGCTTAAAGCCAGCCTGCCTTGGGTAGCATCCCCTAAAACTCTACCGGTACGGGAAGCAGGACCCCGGTGCCCCCCAGGGTCTCAGACTCCACATGAGGGGGCGCAATGGTGTAAGCCAGGATGGTGATCTCCGGGGAATGGCGAATAGAAGCCGCCCAACGTCCACCCCTAACCAAAACGTCATCACGGAGCCACTGACATTAAATCTTTAAAAGGGTAAAGAACGATTTCGAAGGAACCAAAGTAGAAGCTAGGAAGTATAGAGAGCTTTGAAAAAGGTTTTCTTAAAGTTTTGGGATCCCCAAATGTATTCAAGATCCCCAAACTCCAGGTGAAAAAAACAAAGTCCCAATGAATAACTAACGAAAGGAAGGAAGCCCCTCCAAGGAGAGACATGAAGACAAGCAAACGAAATTTCCAAGGAAACCGAGGATGAAATTGAAGAAATGTCCAAACTGAGCAGGCGAGAAAGATGGCCAACTGTCTGGGCGGCTTCAGCCTGTGATTCCGGGGGGAGGCCCACAGATAGCGGCTCCCGTGTCTTCAGGGGGCAGCTTTGGTGGAGGCCAGAAGCAGGAGGCAGACTCAGGAAATACGTGAGCACACCTAAGGTGGGAGGACATGCTGGCTTCTGGAAGGAAAAGTGACATGTGACATCCTGGTGTGAGTCAGGTCACCAGGGCTGGAGCCCTAACTTTGTCCCTTAAGAACTGTATGACCCTGGGCAATCCATTAATCTATTCAGACCTCAGTCTTCCCATCTGAAAAATGGACACGAAACAGACCGACTTTACAGGGTCATCTTAAGGACGGCATGCATGCGGAATGTGGGCACGTGCATCAGGTAGGATCAGTGGGCACTTCTCTAAATAAAATCTAAAGTTCATCACATTTTAAAAGATTGATTTGGAAGGACGAAGTGGATAAAATTGGTAGATACTACACATTTATATAGGGCAGTCTTCAGGTGAAACTAACCCAACTGTATTTTAAAATAGTGAGCTCGGGGCACCTGAGTGGCTCAGTGGGTTAAGCGTCTGCTTTCGGCTCAGGTTCTGGGCTCAGGTCCTGGGATCGAGACCCCAGTCCTCGGGCTCTGTGCTCAGTAGGAAGCCTGCTTGTCCCTCTGCCCCTCCCCCAGCTCATGCTCCCTCTCTTTCTCTCTCTCAAATAAATAAAATATTTTTTAAAATAATAAAATAACGAGCTGTCAGGGCGCCTGGGTGGTTCAGTCGGTTTTGTGTCCGACTCTTGATTTCGGCTCAGATCATGATCTCAGCGCTCAGAGGAGAGTCGGCTTGAGATTCTCTCTCCCTCTGCCCCTCCCCTCGCCTGTGCTCTCTCCCCCTGAAATAAATAAATAAATCTTAAAAAAAAAAAGTGAGCTTTCGCATCTCAAGCACCACAGTATTTGTGCGTACCACTCGGCTTGCTGACCTGCAGGGAATGCTGCATTCTATCATTTTCTTGCTCACATTTAGTCTCCTCGACCAGATTACAAACTGTTCAAGTAAACAGTGTCGCCAAACTATCCATTACATTCCAGAGCTTCGGTCACTGCCAACGGGTCCCTGAAGACCTGGCAGTCGCAGCTGCCAAAAGAAAGGTAACCAGCATCAGGGTGTGGAAACCAAGAGTAAACATATCATACCCTCACCCGGAGTGGTGGTTTAGCTGCAGCTGGGATAACGTCCATGGTTTTGGCTGCTAGTGCCTCAAGACTGACATCAGGAAGCTGTGGGCAAGCAGCTCACTTTTTCAAATGGGTGGAACTGTTTTCCTGAGAACAGGATGAACACAGGGGGATTCCGGAGTGCAGCAAGGTGCGGGCAGGGTAGGGGTACAATGTCACCTCCAAAACCTTTCCCATAGGGCATGGCTGTGGGCTCGTCCCTCCAAGTCAGAACATTAAAGCAAGGGCGCCTGGGTGGCTCAGTCGTTAAGCGTCTGCCTTCGGCTCAGGTCATGATCCTGGAGTCCCAGGATCGAGTCCCGCATCGGGCTCCCTGCGCGGCAGGGGGTCTGCTTCTCCCTCTGACCCTCCCCACTCTCATGCTCTCTCTCTCTCATTCTCTCTCTCAAATAAATAAATAAAATCTTTAAAAAAAAAAAAAAAAGAACATTAAAGCAAGCCGGGAGCATCCTTCCTGGACAGTCTTAAAACAAAATACTGCTTGGAATGCTGAACACACCCTGCCGAAAAGCAGGGGACACGAACAGGACAAAAATAATCAGACAGGTGCAGGAAGCTTGACCAACGCGTTCACTGTTCAATAGCCAACAGAATTCCGGCTACTTGGGAGACCTTCCTGACAGTGAGGTGATTGGGTGGAGCTGAACCCCACCTTGCCCCCCAAATCCTCCATGTGCCGTTAGGAACAACAGGTTGGGCACGGACGGGTGGGTCTCCCGCTGTCCCCCCCCATCCCTCCCTCTCTCCTTTGTGCAGGACCAAGGGCGGAGCTGGGGGCAGGGGTGGAGCACTGGGTAAGCTAAAACAAAGGGAAATAAAGGACTCAGGCACTCTGAAGTGGGAGCCACCATGTGGAATGTTCAAGAAACCAAGACGGAAGCGGTCTCACATCTTGATCTGATTTCGAGGGTGCACACCTGTATAAAAATTCACTGAGCCGCACGCATAGGATCTGTGCATTTTACTTTGATAATCTACACCTCAGTTAAAACCCAAACCAAACCACCATCAGCAACAAGCTCCCTGTGTTTGCTATCCTTTATTAAAGGGCCCCACATCCTCATGAGACCCCAGCAAAACCAGAATCCAGACAGGTCCCCCAAATATAGCAGGAAGCCTGGAAGGGGAGGGGAATGACTTGCGATCCCGCCACGCCCCACCTCCCAGGAAACAGAAGCCCACCACATACGGACAGACAGACAGACAGGGGCCCGGAAGAGAACTCGCCTCACCCCAGGTCCTCTCCCCTTTGCCCCACTTGAAAAGAAAGTCACACACTGGCTACGCAGCACCCCAGCCCCCCACCCCACCCCTAGCAGCATTTGTGGGACCGCCCCCCCGCGAGGGGCGCCCCGAGGCAGCTCCCATCCTCTTCCTTCACTTTGGTTTGCTCCGGGCAGCTCCGTGCGCGCTTCCTTCCTCCAGCCTCCGGCCCAGCCTCTCCCACGCCGTCCAGCACCTACTCGGACCTTCTCGCCCACCTGTCGCCTCCCTGCCCCGGGCTCCTGGGGCAGCAGCGGCTCCGGGGGCTGCTCCGCTCCCGGCTCGGCTCCCCCCTGCGGCCCCCCGCCCCCGGGCCGGGCTCACACGGCCGCCCCGCTCTCCTTGAGGTCGGGGGCCGAGCGCTGGCGCCTCATACGCGGGGGAGTGGTGTAGGGCGGGTAGCGGGGCCCCGGGGGCCGCTGCGCCGGGTACGGTTGGGGCTGCTGGGGGTAATAGTTGTGCTTTTTGGGCTGGAAGTGCTGGGGTTCGGGCTGAGCGGACCCGCCTCCCCGGGACCGGCCGCCTCCGTCCAGGGAGTTCCTGCGGGGCCGGTGGGACCTCCGAGGACTCGGGGGCCGGCGCGCGGGGGCGGCCGGAGGGGGCGCGACCTCCTCGGGGGGTTGGGGCGCCGTGGGGGCCTCCCCAGCCGCCGCCCCCGGCCACGACTCCCGGTGCTGGGGGTTGCTCTTGAAGGGGAAGCGCAGCTTGCAGTCGTGAGGGGGCACGAAGCGGGCGGGGGGCCGGCGCAGCCCCCCGCCCCGGCCCCCCGCGCCCTGCAGTCCCTGCAGCCGCAACTGCTCCTGCTTGAGCCAGCGCAGGCGACCCCGGCGGAAGGCGGGGTCCTCCTCCATGAGCCGGGACACCCGCTCCCAGCTGGACAGGGGCGGCGACGGGGGCCGCGCTGAGGCCGGGGGCGCGCGCTCGCCGGGGGCTTCCTCCTCCGCGGCCTCCGACCCCGGGGGCGCGGCCCAGGCGGCCTCCCCGGCCTCTTCGTTCTCATCCTCGTGATCCTGGGGGGGGGGCGGGGGAAGAGGGCGACAGAGAAGGGCCGTGAGGAGAGCCGAGCGCTGAGCAGCCGAGGGCAGGGGGTCGCAGAGGGGCTTGGAGACAAGGGGCCTGGGACAGTGGTCTGAGCTGATCCTGGCCTGCCACTTCCTGTCGCTGTGGTCTGCGCCCTGGCCAGTAACCTCCCGGTGCCCAGATCCTCGTGTGCATGGCCACAGTACTTAGTGCACAGGGCTGGTGGGAGAATTAACTGTTAACCCCATAAAGCGTGTAGCTCAGGGTCCGGGCGGGAGCAGGGACCCCATAATCCTGCTGACTAAATAACGTGCCCGGGGGGATGGAGTAGTCAGAAGGTAAGAGAAACACCTGCCATCGTTTAAGGGGAGAGACACAGCTGATCAGTGAATGAGAAAAATACACGGTAGGGTACGTATCCTATCCTTCCATGAAAAGTTAAGTAGAAATGCATACCTATATCATTTAATATATATTATTTACATTAACAGAAGCATCTGTAACATAGGATATGATGTGCTTTATAGAAACGTGCACATTTGGGGGCACCTGGGTGGCTCAGTCGGTTAAGCGGCTGCCTTTGATTCAGGTCATGATCTCAGGGTCCTGGGATCGAGTCCTGCATGGGGCTCCCTGCTGGGGGCGGGGTCTGCTTCTCCCTCTGCTCCTCCCCCCACTCGTGCTCTCTCTCTCTCAAATAAACAAATGATCTTAAAGAAAAAAAAGTGTACATTCAGGTGAAGAGCAGGGAAGGGGAGGGGGGCCAGGGTGAAGGTGGCCGCCACCAGGGTCCAGGGAGGCTGTCACGGCAGTAAACACCGAAGTGGGGGGAAGGCACTCTAGGCGCAAAGGCTCGAGGCAGCAGGTGCCCAGCGAGATCCTGGACCAGCAAGGAAGCCGGGCAGGAGAAGGTAAGCCGTCAATGACCCCGAGCCGTGGCTGCCGCCATGCGTCAGGAAAGGCAAGCAGGAACACGGCACAAAGCGTCTGCTGTAAGTAACCCCAGCGGCCAGCGCCCCACCTGGCGCACAGCACGCGCTCAGATGTCTGCCTGTTCAGTGAACCCGTGCACGCCAGGGTTGAGCGATCACACGCCCCTCAAGGGCTGTTGTCGGGTTAGACGAGCGGGTGCGGGAGGAGCGCCCAGCACGGCGGTTCCCGTGGGGGTGGGGGGACGGTCCCCCGGGACGCACGTGCACGTGAACCTGCGTCCAGCGGCAAGTTAAGAACTGTGCGCTTCCTACGGGGCTTCTCAAGCTCTGCTGTACTTCTGAGACCCCTGGGAACCCGATGCAAATGCAGATTCCTCCCCAGACTCGGACCGAGCAGGTGTGGGGTGCAGCTCAGAGATCTGCATGTGCGGCCCACGCCCTGGGGATGGCGAGGCCGGGACTCCCAGCCTACACTGAGCAAAGCTGCGTCTTTACAGGGAGCGGGGGAGGCCTGCTTGGCGGTGGGGGGAGCCCCGCGAGCCCAGGGGAGGAGCGGAAGCAGGGAGCGGAGGAGCACGCGCGCGGCCCGGGGCCCTCCCCACCTGGGTCAGCGGGATGACCCTCTCCATACGCAGCATGCGGTCCCTCAGGGCCTGCAGCTCGCGGTCCTTGCAGCTGTTCTGGAGCTTCACCTCCTGCAGGATCCCCGTCAGCTTGTCGATGTGCGCCCGCAGGTCCTCCACCTCCGCCCCGCGGGCCCCCTCCTCGCCGCCGCCACCTCCACTTCCGCCGCCTTCCTCCTCGCCCACCGTGTCCCAGACATCCCGGGCCACGGCCCTCCAGGCGTCCCCGGGGCCCTCGGGCTTGCCGTAGGTGCGACACAGCTCCCGCATCTTGAGCGCGGCCAGGGCCTCGATCTCTGCCCGCCCGTGGCGGAAGTCGGCCAGGGCCACCTCGTAGCAGATCTCCTTCACTGCCTGCATCTTCAGGTCGGCCATGGTGGCCCAGCGCGGGTCCTTGCCCTGCAGCCGCCGCCGCTGGGGGATCTGATAGACCCTCCGAGGGGCCCTGCGCTTGCCACTGCTGGGCAGGCCACAGCGCTTGACGATGGTCTGCACGGTGGTCGGGGGCAGCTGCTCTCGCAACGAGGAGATGAGCCGCCAGCTCTCCTCACAGGAGCGCTTGTCCGAGTCATCCCCGCTGTCCGAGTCCGCGTACTGGGGCCACAGAGAGAAGGGGGCGGGGGGTCAGGACCACCCGGAGCTGCGGAGACGGAGCACCAGAGACGCGCCCCGCGGCACCGTGCGCCCGACCCCCACCCGGCGGCACCGCGCACCCGACC